GAATGTTTAGATGAATACATGAAGCCAAATGCCTGTCCTGTTCTAATTCCCCATGAATACAATGGATCAAATCGTTAATTTACATCAGTCAGCTTTGGCCGGGAACTGTCATATCAATGGCATTTGGGAAACAATCTTCTGAGCTGGGAAACAGTTCTCACTGTTCTTTCTGCCCACTACATTTTCCCAGATTTGACCTTAGAGTGCTCTCTGCCTTATTTTAAACTTCAATGAAAGACAAATCATCATTATTTGTTTTACACAAGACATCTGCTATGAAGCAGAGCAGCAGGAAAAAAATACCAAGAAAGCTAATCAGAAAACTTGATCTCAGGAGATTGAAAATCTCATTCTGCAACCTCAGTAGCTCCTGGTGCTCAGAACAAATGTCCTGAAAGGTGAGTGCCCAGGACAGCTGAAGTTCAATTTTGATGCTGTCATTTCTTCCATTGTTAATTTGAGGCTTGAAAGGATTTATCTCAAAATATAAATTTGGGATACGTTAATTTAGTAACAGTGAAAAGATAGGAAAGCATCTATTTGGAAAGATTACTGAGTTTAGAGTCTGAGTTTAAGGCTTCTAGAGCTGGACTGAGGATGATTCAGTTCAATGCAGAGGAACCAGACATCAGAACCTCCTTTCAGAAAAACACCCAAACAATTCCCAACTTCTTCCCACTCTGCTGGGATGTGCCAACATTTTTTCTTAGCTTGGTAGGGGGTTCTAGCATTCCCCAATCCCTGTTTAAGACTTGACTTAAATGTCTAATTCTGCATTTCAGGCTGATGGAAATGGTCTCTGCTTGTTCCTTGCCTCCTGAGCTCACTCCCAGTCTTCTTCCCACCATTCATCAAAACAGCCTGGTACTTGTCTGGCCACAGACCCATCCTGCTTGGAGAACACAGGGACACCCACCCATGTGTGAAGGGATACCAACACCTGATGGATATGTTGGTGTTTGGGAGCTGGATATCTCTGCAGCCAACACAAAGCACAGCCTGAATAAGATCACTGCTTGCTGGGATATTGTTTGCAGAGGAGAAAGAGGAAATATATTTCACAAGAGACTGGGAGAGCACCAGAATATCAATACATTGCTCACAAAGCAAGTTTAATCCATTTTTAGCCTGTAATAAACAATGAAGTCTGCAAAACCTTGACAAGAATATATTGTGCATCCTCAAGGAGGACAACACAACAGGATATGTGGAAAACAAAAGTTTGCCCGTAGCATGAGAGGAACTCAGAGTGGAGTCTGAATATCTTCACCAGCTCCTGGGACTCTGGAGGGAGTTTTGCTGTAGAATCACAAATAGATGTAGAATACAAATAGTATTCACTGTGTGCAGCTGGCACATACAGCTCCTTCTGCATGAGATAATGAACTCTGTGCTGGCCTGTCTGGGATGGAGGTAATTTCCTTTATGGTAGCTCATACGATCCTGTGTTTTAGGTCTGTGACCAGAACACTCCTGTTAACACATGGATGATTTGGTTATTGCTGGACAGTGTTTACACAGCAGCAAAGCCTCCTCTGTTTCTCCCTCTGCTCCCAGAACACTGACTGGGGGGATGGATAAGAGACTGGGAGGGGACACAACCAGGTGGGTGACCTGAGCCAACCAAAGAGATATTCTATGCCATAAAACATCATGCTCAGCAATAAAAAAGGGGAAAGTATGGGATTTTGGTTAAGTGAGCCATCTTTTGTCTGAGCAACAGCTGGGTATTGCTCTGCTCAAGGGTTGTGGTGATTGCCTTCCTCTCACTTCTTTTGTTTTATTGTTGTCAGCTTCTCCTGCTTCAGTTATCAACAATTTTTCTCTTGACCACTGAGTTTTCTCGGGTTTTTTTTGCCCTTTCCTCTTCCCCTATCTCCCTGGAGGGGGGTGAGGGGGCAACTGTGCAGTAGTGAGTTGAATGCTGGAGTTAATCCACACCCACAGCACAGTGGAAACCTCTCTGCCCGTCTTTGTGCCAGCTCTTATGTGAACAACATGGACACTTTTCTGCTTTCTAGGTCTCAGTTTCATGTGATTTCTTCCTAAACTTCTAATAGAGAGTCCAAATTACTGTTTCTAATCCTCACTACCACAATATTTTTTTTGTTTGCCTAATGCTTGTAAATAGGAGACTCTCTCTTCTCACTGTGTGTGTTGTGAATTTCTGTTCTCCTTCATATCCTCCCCTGATAGACTAGTTTATGTTTTCTTCATGGGAAGAATATTACAGTTTAAAAATCTAAACATTGCTTTTAAGATATCTGTGGAAAGAGGGGTGAAAAAAAGTGAGGATTGGACATGCTAAGGTTGTTAACAGCTCAAAAAAAAAATTCCTTTCTGGAAGCAGAAATAGAAATACTTGTTCAATGGAGCTTTGCTGATTTGGGGTGAAGATCCAGGTTTTCTTCATTGTAGGGAGAAGGTGAGTTGAAATATCCAAGACTAAAAAGAAGAGACCACTGAGAAGAGAAAGCTACTGAAGTGAAATAATTTTGTTTTTAAAAATGGCATCCAGAAACCTTATCTTTGACACATAAGAACAGACACATAGCTAAATATGCTGTAACCTGCTTAGGTTTCCAAAGCAGCAAATTAAACCAGTGGACTATGCAGTGAGTGTCCATTCAGATGAGCAAAGCTCATTGAACACAACAATACTGTAAGAGAACATGTTGAATACTCAATGCACCAAATAATCCGCTTTTGATACGGAGACAGTAAAAGCTTTTGGGAAAGAGGCAGAAATAGTGTTTGTGTGCACTGGGGGGGGGGGGAAAGAGGGAAAACATTCTGAGATGGGAAAATGATAAGGAAAACTACTGTCCTTGCTTTGTTTTATGTTTTCCTCTAATTATATTTTTGTTGTATTGACAGTAATTCTTATTTCCAGGCAGGACACCTGTCCCAGAAGTTTGTTGTCTTTGACTTTCTGGAAGAAGGTGTTACTTTGTAGAGAGTGTTTATCGCAGAATCAAAGAATCACAGAATATCCTGAGTTGGAAGGGACACACAAGGATCATCAAATCCAATTCCTGGCCCTACCCAGACACCCCAACAGTCCAACCACGTGCCTGAGAGTGTTGTCCTAATGCTCCTTGAGGTCTGGCTGCCTTGGTGCTGCGCCCACTGCCCTGGGGAGCCTGTTCAGTGCCCAGTTGCCATCTGGGGGAAGAACCTTTTCCTAAGATCCAACCCAAAATTCCCTTGACCCAGCTCCATGCCATTCCCTCAAATAATGAGTGGTTCTCTAGGTCTGTGAGACCCTTGGGTGCCTGAGGAGTATCATCTCACCTGTTTTCTCTCTCTCCTTCACAGGAACACAAAATATCCTGTTGGGTGGTGCCAGATCCTGCTGGACCAAATCACACCAGCCCTTCCAGGTGCAGTGAGGAAAGACACCCAGTATTGTTGCATTATCTGAACTGGCAAATCCCACTGACTGCAGTGAGTGTTCATGGAGCCTTTGCTTTCATTTCAAACAACCTTATGTAGGACAGGAGGATTCCTCTTCCCTTTCTGATAAGTGCCAAGAGCATCAATGAAAGAACACACCAGTGATAACTCCAAACACCATTTATTTGCTGAAATAAGTATTTTGCCCTTGTTTATCTGTTCTGTATAAGGCCTGATCCCTGAATCTTCCATGCTGTGGTGTAAGCTCTTCCTTTGCAGCCTTGTACCAGAGGGATCTGTGAGAATCCCCCTTTCAGCCTTTTATTTGAGCCAGTGTGACAGAATCCAGGGTGGCTTAGCAGGAAGTGTGATGTTCAGCTTTGTGGCTGAACAGTCACTTGGAGAAAAGTACAAGTGGGGAGCTCTGGGCACCCTGTAACTGAGATAAGCTAAGCCCCAGCCCTATCAGAGCAGCCTGGAGTTTAACGAAACAGCTTCTAATTCTGCTTAGGAAAGATTTGCTGAAGATTTAGCTTAAGACAATGTTCTGTAGCCACAGGGGATGGGTGAGAAAAGGACAGAGTGTCCTTGCAGGCCAGAAGAGGGAGATGGAAGGAGGGCGTCTCCCAGTGCCCTCCTTGCCCCACATACCCTGCAAGAGGTGACTGTTTTTTTTCCTGTGTCAGCCCAGCCCAGCCCAGCCGTGACTGACTTTTCTTGGAGCTCCCTGCCTGGAATCCTCACATCCCGGCGTAGTTCAACGCTCTCCCTACACTTCTCGCCTTCGCTGAGCTGCCGAGATCTGTCTGGGTGGGTCATGCCCTTGAGGCATCCCCGTCTCCGTTCCCCATCCCAAACCTTCCCCGAGCCCAGCGGGCGGACTTTGCCAGGCGGGTCCAACCGGGCCGGGAGGCACCGGGAGCTCTGCCCGCAGCCTCCCAGGGAAGCTCCACTCGGTTCATCCCTCCGAGCCGCTGCCGAGCTGGGGCTGTGGAGCCCCCGATGAGGGTCCCCGAGCCCCCCGAGCCCCCTCGTCCCGTCCCCACCCGCCCGGCGCTGTCCGCGGTGCTGAACCGCATCCGCGCCGCGGGGATGCGGGAACGGCTCCACCCCAGCTCCCCAAGGAAGGGTGGGACCCCCCCAGTGTGGAGTCAGGATGGGCACCGTCCTGCTCCCCTCGCCCCCAGCCGATGGAGCCCCGCGCTGTCTGGCTCCGGGGAGGTGAAAATAGAAGGCGTGCGGGGGAAAAAAAAAAAAAAAATTAAATGGATGAAAGCTACATGGAACGGCAACCGGTCCCTCTGCAGCCTCCTCCCCAAATCCCCTCGGATGTCCCCTCAGTAGACAAGTTTAGAGCCCCCCGCAGCCCCGTCCGGCGGCCCTTCCCGGGCTCATCCTCCCTTCCCACGGCCCAGGCTCCGTCTGGCCGGAGCTTAAGTCCCTCCTTTTTGCCCCCGGCCCCTCCCCTTCTCTAATTATGTACAAAACACTTCTTAGAATAAAATGGCCAGGCTGGGGCTCCTCCCTGCTTTCCTCTTCCCCATTCATCCTCTCCAGCCCTCTCCAAGCCCCTCCTTCTGTGGCAAGCCCAGCCTCTCGCTTCCCTCCTGGAGCCTTTTTCATTTTTATTTCTAACCCCCTCTCCATTCTCCCTGCTGCCTCTGCTCCTTCCCCCGATGGCTACGAACTGAGCAGCAGAAGAGGGGGGGGGGCACAGGAAGGGGGGGAAAAAAAAAGGCAAGAAAAAGGAAAAGGAAGAAGGGGAGAAAAGGAATTTTTTTTTTTTTTTTTTTTCTGCCTCTGCCCTTAATGCCCGCGATCTGGATCAAGGAAGGGGATTTTCTGTCTGAGCATGAAAAGGACTGCTAGAGCCCCAGGATTTTCACGCCTGCAGCATCAGCCCCGCACCCAGTATGCGAGCTGGACAGAGAAGCTCTCCCACAAGTTCCTACCGAGCCGAATAAAACCCACGGGCGACCCGATCTCCGCCAGAGAGGGACATTAAGCATCAGGTAAAGGCGAGCGCTGCGCTGCGGCTGCGGCTCTGCCCGTGCCCGGGGCCGGGCTCCCCCGTCCTGCCCGCGTTGTGTAACCGCGCCCGCGGCCCCTCCGCCCGCACCGCCCGCACCCCGCCCTGGGCACGGCGGGGGATGGATGGAAAAGTCCCGCAGCCCCGTTAGCGGTTCTGCGTGCGCGGTGCTGAGCGAGGGGCCGGGGTCCGCCGGCGCTGGGAAGACCGGGAGCGCTGGTTCGTGCTGGGGCAAGGCGCAGCCCGCCGAGGATGCCCCGCGATGGGGGCTCAGCCCCCGGCTCGGCGGGGCTGGAGGAGAGGCGGGGGTGGCGGCGGGGGTGGGAGGCAGCCGGGATCCATCTGTATTCCGGAGTATCGATACATCCCGGAGCGGGGGGGGACCGTCCCCAAGGAGATGGTGTCATCTCCACTTAATCCGCTGCTCCGCTCGCGCAAGTGACAAGCAAATCGCGGAGGAAAAAAAGGAAAGTCTGTCGCCTCGAATCCCACACCGGACCGATTGCCTCGACTTCCAGCGGGGATGGGAGACAGCGGCAGAGCCGGGGGAGGGCGCCGATGGCGGGGGCTGCACCGCAGGGCGCAGGAGATGGGTTTCCCCCGCTCAGCTCTCGGTGCTGCTCGTGAGGCTGATGTGGAGCATAACTTTGCCTTTTTCCAGTCCTTGGGGAATGGGGGCACGAGGGGCATCTCCACGCCATTGCATCATCCCCGAGGTCCATCACAGCCTGGGACTAAAGCCCCAGAGACGATCGGAAGAGGGTTGTAGGTGTGAGTGTGTGTTTTGGTTTTGGAGAGTCCCCCCGTGCTTGTACCTGGGAGTGGGGAAGGGGAGGGGGTGTCACTTCTTGGATGCGGTCTCCTCTTCCCGGAGGGAACCCAGCAGCAGATGAAACGCCGGCAGAATTGGTGTCTGAATTTAGCCGTGTGACTGACATCTGCACTAGGCAGGATAGAAGGGTCCTTCATGCTTTACTCTGACTGCTCATCTGGATGCATAATAATAATTTGTTAATGACAGTAAAGCTCTTTCCCAGGAGTTGTAGAGAAGTATTTGGAGGATAGTGAGAGGAGAAGGGAATAAGTAAAGAGGAGATGTGGGTTCGGTGTAAGAAATACGAAAGATTTTTTTAAAAATTCCTTATAAAGGAAAAATATTGATCAGCTCTGCTTGTGAGAGACAGACAGACAGACAGACACGGACTCTCTCCCTCCCACACACCGCACAGACAAGCAGCCGTGGTCTCCCTCATGCATGTACACGCTAAGCACACCAAACACATGCTGGGAACTCGCACAGCCCACCCCGTGCTCACACACGGCATCTCGGGCTCGCTCTCGCATGGATGCAAACACCTATTCCAGCTCTGCGGCCCCGCAGTTCCCCCACGCTCAGACACACAGACTGGATCCACAGAAATAGCTGCATTGATATTCTTGTTATGTGAATCGAGCCTTCAGACGTTCACATGAGCACACACATGCTTGTCTTCTTTGCAGGGCTCGCAGTAGGTGGTTTGCTCCTCCAGCGTAGTCTTCTCCCTTGTAGTTTGCTCCAGGCATTGATTTGGGGTTTGTCTGACTCCAAAGCCCTTTGCGACTCAGCAGAAAAGCTGCTACATTTTGTGTGTCTACGGTTGTTTTATTGCTCTTTGCACGTTCCCAGGACTCAGGAATGATTTCACTCCTGGAAAGAAAGGCAGACGAGCAGCAGAGAGGGGAGCAGGGAAATGGCTGGGGGAGCAGCGGCAATTCCATACCCATCATGCCTTCTCTGATAAGAGCTGGAGTCTGGGAGTATTGGGAGAGCTCTGCTGGAGTTACCGTGGTTTTTAAGGTGTGTGAGTGTGTGTGAGCAAAACCACACACACATCCATAGCTAAAACACACAGTGCAAGACTCCACTTCAATGTTACGCCGGTTCTGAGCGAAACCCTCCCATCCTCACAGTACAGATGCTCCCTTTGCAAGCCCCTTTGATCAGAGATGACTTAGGATGTGTGGGGGAGATGATGTCACTGGTGTTAGAGGTATTTAACCTCCCCCTCTGACCTTCCTCCCCTTCCCCTTTTTCCATAAGGCCTAGTCAGGATACTGTGCAATCCTCCAAGAGCAGGAATATAATGAGGCCGACTAAAGTGTATATTAAAACTTGGGAGAGGAGGAACATATGGTGAATTGGCTTGCTTATAGGTAAAAGGTGTCCCAAAAGAGATGATGGGGGATGTATCTGTGTTCCCTCCTCACCTCCACTGTTTACTACACTGCAAGTATGGGTAAGGCTGGTGCTAAACACTATGTGGGAATGGGTCTGCCAGCAGACAATAATCATTGTTGTCTGTGTGACAGAAATAGTTCAAAGCCAAACCCTCCCATTTTTGCTCAGGCAGGAGCCCCAGTGCCTGCTCCGGGCTCATTGCTCGGGAAAGCACTGCAGGAGCCGACTCCAGAACCGGCACATCCACGCCTGGCTCCCTGCCCACCTCCAGAAATGGATGTGGATTTTTAGACTTTACCCAGGGCTCGGTGTTTATAGCTGATGCAGGGACGTTGAACGGGCAGGAAAGAAATTACTCAGTAACCCCCCCCTCCAAAAACCCCAAACCGCTGAAGAACAGACATGAGTGTGAAGAGCCCCCAGAGCGCCCCGAGGAGCGGCGTTCGGAGATGGGAAGTCAGGGAGGGACCCCCGGGAAGGGAACACACCCCGCGCTCGGCGCCCCGCGCCCGCTGCGCCAGCGCGGCCCGAGGGCGCTGCCACCGCACCCCAGGAGGGGGCGCTGTGGCTCCATCGAGCGCCGGGAAAGCGGGGCAGCCCCTGCCCGCACCCCTGCCTGTACCCACTGCCTGTACCTACTGCCCGCACCCCTGCCTGCACCCCTGCCTGTACCCACTGCCCGCACCCCTGCCTGTACCCCTGCCTGTACCCCTGCCTGTACCCACTGCCCGCACCCCTACCTGCACCCCTGCCTGTACCCACTGCCCGCACCCCTGCCTGTACCCCTGCCTGTACCTACTGTCCGCACCCCTGCCTGTACCTACTGTCCGCACCCCTGCCTGTATCCACTGCCCGCACCCCTGCCTGTACCCCTGCCTGTGCTCCTGCCTGTACCCATGCCCTCACCCCTGCCTGCACCCCTGCCTGTACCCATGCCTGTACCCACCGCCCCCACCCCTGCCTGTACCCACTGCCCACACCCCTGCCTGCACCCCTGCCTGCATGCCTTCCCATACCCACTGCCCGCACCCCCTGCCCGCACCCCTGCCCGCACTCCCTGCCCATACCCACTGCCCGCACCCGCTGCTCATACCCACCTTCTGCACCCCCTGCCCACACCCACCGCCCTCATCCTCCTGCCGGTACCCCCTGCCCGTACTCCCTGCCCGCACGCCCTGCCCGCATCCCACGACTGCATCCCCCTGCTTGCATCCCCTGCCAGCATCCTTCACTCGCATCCCCCTCACGCATCTTCCTGCCCTCACCCCCTTCCCGCACCCCCTTCCCATCCCCTCCGCCTGCATCCCCTGCGCGCATCCCCGCGGAGCGAGGCCAAGCGCCCACCGTAAGGCGGGGGCGGCCGGGGGCGGGCGCTCGGTGCCGGACGGGTGCGGGGCCGAGTCCTCCCGCTGCGGAGCCGCGGGGCGAGCGGAGCCTGCGGGGGCCCGGCCCGGTGCACGCAGGGATCGTTCACCCGGTGATGAAATGCAGCTACTTCTGGGACAGAGCCCAGCAGCTTTTCCGTGCCAGCAAATACTACAGGGGAAGTGAAAAATCACTTCATGCATTGGAAGTGCAGAGATGAACTTAGTGAGGCAGAATATAAATTACCCGGAGCGATGGAGCTCGTGCCCGGTGGTTTGATTTACACCGTCCCCCTCGCGAAAGTATCACGGGATTTTTAACAACCGTAAGGACCTTGGCCCATTTCCTTCCAGGCCACACAGAGCAGCTTCCCAGAGAGGGAGAATATCCACACACACACACACAGAGATCTGGCTTTTAGGAGAGCCACGGACCCTGGGCTGGTCCTGTGGTTCTCCCCCTTCCCTGGAAATGGTTGCTGGAGCAGGATGCTGAGCTATGGAATGGTGCTGAGCTGAGTCAGGGCAAAGCACCTGCCAGCGGTGTGTGGTACCCCAGAGTGTTCCCAGGTACCAGGGGAGGTCTTTCCCTGCTGGCTGTGCCTCTGCAGGGCCACATCCAGCTGACTTGCTGGGCCTGGAGCTTGGGTGGATACGGCTGCAGCAGCTCGTGGCTGCAATGGGTGTGGAAAAGGGAAATATTATCAAGCAGAGAGGTCTGGGGGAGGAAACTGGATATATCTGCTGGGTTCTCTGTCTGGAGAGAAGCAAGCATGGGCAGAGCTGGACTAGGCAAATGAGCTGGCATTCCCCAAGGTTTGGGAGTAGGCATAGGGTGGCTGTTGCTGGATGGATAGGCTAGGCCAGGGAAGGAAAAGTGCAGGGACTAGTGGGAGGGAGGAACAGAAGGAAGAGCAGAAATCAGAGGAGCAGCTGATTTAGGCTGAGCTGAAGGCTATTGAAAGAATCAAGTTTATTTCAGGAGAGCTGGATCAGATCCTAAGCGAAGGTGATATAAACTGGGTATAAACATGTCATTTTGAAAAGGAGCTAAGTCAGGCCCAGGATTCCCTGTGCACTTGGGCTGGGGAATATAATGCAACATGTCTCAGCCTTTGCAGCCCCCTGCTTGGGGAGCTGTTTTCTTGCAGCCTAGAGGCAGGACCTGCAAGCAGCATCACAGGAGGGAGAGAAAAACTCTCTTATTTATTTTTGCTGTTTGTTCTTCTGAAGTCATGTGCTCTACATCCATTTTATTGTTGCCTGCATAGTGCAGCTGGCAGAGCTCAGCTCTGCACAGAGCTCTGCTCTGTCCCTGACAGGCCCAATTGGAGCTCAGTGCTGGGTGAGAAGGGGACCCAGGGTGCCACCAAAGCCACTGCAGCTCTGGTGATGGCACAT